GAAAAAATTAAATAAAATGAGAAGGTATTTATAAATAATTTTAAATTATTTTTTTATTCAATTCTCACGAGGCACCAGCAATCAAACGTTTAAAATTGTCGACTGGTCAACACACGTGGTAGCACTAAATAGCGCTGACATCACGAGGGCATGAGAGAATTATTTTTTAGTTTGTAATTTATTTTTATATTTATTTAGCGATAATTAAATAAGAGGAATTAATCATTTTTTAAAGAAATACTAACTAATTATTTTAATGTAAAATTGTGGTTTTTAGTTGTGAAATAATTAATAATAAAAAGAAGAATAATTTAAAGAATAAACTTGGAAATATAAGTTTTATATTTGGATAATAATTTAAAAATTGTTTTATTAATAAATTGTGATTCGTTGAAATTAAAATAAATTTTTTAAATTATATTTAATAATGTATCAATTCTACATACAAAAATAATGGAGAGAATTTGCTTGTTGAAAGAGAAGGGAGGATATCTTTAGGACATTTAAAGGGTCATCAAAAATTAAATAGAAAGTAAATAGCAAAAATAAGATAAGGGTCGAGAATTGGATGGGAAAAGTCGGCAAACCCTTTATAATTAAAAATTTCAACTTTTTAATTGCCTGTGAAAATGTAAATTATTTGACCAAGCAAATGTATTAATAAATTAATTAATAAATTAATGTACTTTGAAATTTTGAAAAATCTAATTATCAGGTTTACAATCCATCTCTAGCTTGGCCAAAAATTTACTTTAAATTTTTAGGAGAAAATTAAATTAAAACAACATATTAAAATTAGTTATAAATAATTTAAAAATAAAAACTACTTTAATTAATTTCTTATAAAATAAATGAAAGAAAATATTTTATTTAAAAAATCTCCAAAATAAATTATGTATTAAAATAATTAATTAATTAATTTATAAATTTTATTTATTTAAATAAATCTACAATATTTAAAAAGAAATAAAAATTATATTAAGCTTCTATTCCGTTAAACAGCACGGGATAGTCACTCATTTCCACGTAATCTTGCATCATGCTTTGAAATCGAAAGAAAATAAATAAAAAAATTTTATTTTAAATTTAATTAAAGTGGAGGATAATTAATTAATATAACTGATGTAATTTTAATTAAAATAAATAAAAGGTATTATAATCATTTAATTTAATTAAGGCTAAAAATTAGTAAAAATTTATAAATAAATTAATAATTCAAAATTAAATTGATTATCAAAGTTGATATTCTCTAAATGAATATTAGAAGGGTGATGAAGGAGTAATTAAACTTTTTTGTATTTTTAAATACCGTAAAAGCTCTAATAGAAGCCCTGGGCTCCTATTCTTCAATACCCCTCATTGAGACGGCTTGTAAGAGGGCATGGGATTTTATTAGAGCTTTTACGGTAAATTAAATATAATTACAATTAAAATAATGGAAATTATTAATTTATTAATTAATTATAGACAAAATGAAGAAAAAGAAATTATAATTTAAAAAATTAATTTTCCAATAATTTACTAAAAAACTAGTTTTAATTTAAAAAAAGTAAAGTGGCGTGATAATTTTTCTTCTTTTTCTCTCATTTTGTTTTCTCAGTTGTTTTATTAGCAAATGATTAGACTGACAAAATTTTTAAAATATTTTTTTCTCTCGTCTTCTCCCACGTGGTGACTGAAAGGAAATTGAAGCTGATGACTTTTTTTTAATTTTTTTAATTTTATTTGTTTAATAAAAATTTAAATGAAAGAAATTTTTTTTATTTGGTAAACAAATTAAAAGAATTAAATGGATATAAAAAATATCTTTTTAAATAAAGCTTTCTATTGAAATCACATTTTATAAGAGAAAAACAAATATTTTTTTTATTTCTGGACTAGACTTGTTAAAGACTTAAAGATCAAAAAATTAAAAAAAAATTAAAAAAATTTAATTAAATCGAAAAACAAATGAAATTTAAATAAAAATTATTTAATTTTAAATTATTCACCAAACTTTTGTAGCAAAAAATAAATACAAATAAAAAAAGAATTCTCTCGACTTTTTTTCAAAATAAATTAATTAAAAATGAGAATCTGAAAGTTAACTTTTTATATAAAATATAAACTTTCTAAAAGAGAAGACTACAATTAATTCTGATTAATTAATTTATTTATATTCTCGTACAAGGTGGCGATAATCAACCGCAAAATTAAATATTGCCCTAAATTGTGTGTTCCTTTTTTAAAAAAATGATGAAATTTTTAATTAAAATTAATTATCTTTTGTTAATAAATAATTTATTTAAAACTAAAAAAATGTTCAAAAACAAAATTTCATAAAATTAATTTCTCTACCGTAAAGGTTTTGAATTTAGTTAAAAATATAAAGTAAATAAAATAATTTAAAAATTGTATATGTATTTTTAGTAATGACAACGAAAATTAGTGTTCGATAGGTGAAGAATTTTAAAATAATTTTTATATTACGAGTCGAAATCTCGATCCAAAATTGTAAAAGATTTAGAGTTATTCCCAAATTAAGATTTTTTGAGATTGTCAATGCCGAATCTGAAAATCATCAATTGCTGATATGTATATATAATCCTCAAAATAAGAATGTTGCTAAAGGTTAATGATTGGAATATTCATTTTTCAGATGCTTTAGTTAAGTTTGCTTTTTTAATTACGAGTCGAATTTATAACTTATTATTGAATCTTAAAGTTAAAGAACTACTCAAGAGAAACAATCAACTTTAGCTTTTTTGTTGTCCGCTTCCAAAAAAAAATAAATTTAATTTAATTTAAAATATTTTTCACAAATTTCGTAAAAAATAATGACTTAAAAAGGATAATCGCTATTTATTTATTTTTATATTTCCGCGCTTTTTACCCATTTATTTATTATTTGGCTGATCGAAAATTTGCTATGCAAACAACCAATTTCATTTCTTTTCAACACCTTTATGTATGAATTGAGTTGATTTTTTAATAGGTATATTGACTCATTTAACGAAAAACTTTTTAAAAAAATTTAAAATTATTACAAAATTTTTATTTTAAACAATATTTTAGCTCTTTATTTTTTAAAAATTCATAAACAATTTTGAGTAGTTAATTTATTCATAAATAAAAAACATCAAATTTAATCATTTTTTGGCTAATTCTCTCTAATATGTTTGTTTTCTTATTATTCAAAATCTGTCATCAAGTTTGCAAAACTTTGTTAAATTTAATAGGCCGAAACGGATTCACGCCAAAATTTTTATTATTTGCTTTTAATTTTATTTATTTATTTGTTGTTGTTAGATAGAGAGAGTTCTTTCTTTGACCTAGGAAATAATTTTTGGGGAATAGTTGGGGCTATGTTTGTTCGTTTGGGAGGAGGGAGGGGGGGAGAGGGAGGTTTTCGTCGATGGTCACTCTTTCCCTATACATACTTCCTCTCCATAATACAAACTGCACATTTGCTGTCATCGTTTTTTCCTCTAAGCTGACCTTTTGTATATATCGATGTAAAGCTAACAAAAAACAGAATTTAGCTTAAGGTAGTATGTATTTTATTAATTAAACACAGAACTGTTAATCTTTGATTTTTTTGAATAAATTAAGTTACATTAATCAAAGCAACATGGATGATTGACCAACTTTAAATTTAAAAATTTTATAATCATTTTTCTCACATAAAAATTTAAATTTTTAAAAATTCTCCTTTATTTTTTAAACCCCAATCCTCTTATTTGCGGTCTTTATTATAAAAAGTTTTTTATTTAGCATTGAGAGGGCAATGTTTAACTAACCAAGCTATTTCCTCCACAAATGCCCAATGGTCAATAGCTGAGTATTTTGGTCGATTGTTGGGCGTCGTTGCGCTGCTTAGGCGTTCTAGGCATTACATTAAAATATTTTTTACTATGTAATTAAAATACTACAGAATAATCTAGTATTTTTGGGGGTTTTGCCGTTTTTTAACTTTTACTTCCCAATATTATTACAAATTTATTACAAATATTTGTTTTATTTAAAAGATTTTGAAGTTTATTTTACAAATTATCATTTTATTGTTTTAATTAATTAAAAAATTTTTTTTTAATTAACTTAATTAAATAAGTGTTACTTTACAAGATTTAAATTAAAAATAAATTTAATTAATTATTCTTAATGCTTCTCTCTCCTTTTTTTTTAAATTTTTTCTAGAACCTGCTTTTCGTTGTTTAATTAATTATAATTATATATTTATGCACTCAATTTCCCCTCTTCAAATTCAAAATAAAGATGATCCATTTCCTCTTTTCAATATTAACTACCCCCTCCCCTCCCCCTCCTCTTTTTAAGCTTAAAAATCTTGACGGCTGAATGGCCAAAATTTTCATTTCTTTGTTTTTTTTCCCATCGTCGCATTATCATCATCAAACAAAAATATAAAAAAACACACTCATCCTTAAGAATCAATTCAAGATGGATGAATAATATTCCAAAATGTTACATTTATATATTTTTTTGTTATTTTCTTTAATTTTTTATCATTCTATTAATTTAATAAAACAAATATATTTGAAATATTTTCAATTAGATATTCGAGTATTGGCTAAATACTATAAAATCAAGAATTAATTTTAATGACTTTTAAAGGCTCTATGTTCTGATTATTCTTTTACAATTTATACATACTTCAAGTATTAAACATGTTTTTACATTATAATTTAACCATTTTCTGTCAAGAATTTTTGATTAAATTTTTGATCAACCAAAAAAATATTCCGAAGAAATGGGTTGGGATAACAGATAAGTACTAACAGAAAAAGTTTTTTTATTTTTTTGTTACCTCATTCATCTAGTAGTGCCTACAAATTTTTAATTTTTCTATTTATTATTTGTTACATTTTATTTAATATTTATCTCCCTCTTTTTCCTTTAATTTTTTATTTTCTAAAATTTAAATTTATTTATCTTTTTAAATGGATTTTTGTATTTACTTTTAGAATTTTAAATGAAATTTGTTATTACTTAATTAAAATAAAATGCTTGGAATTCCATTCCTAGACGATGCTATATTTAAATTGTTTAAACCTCAAGCCTTTGACGATCCAGTTGATAGGCTTAATTATTTTGTTACGGTATTGGAATTTTTGAAATTTTAAAATTTAATTTAAAAAATTTAAGTCTTCATTGCTGACATTTTTTGCTTTAATGGTTATTTGTGAATTATTAATTATTAAATAATATATTTAAGGTTTCTGCTAAACAATATGTTGGAAGTCCAATTCAAGTAGAAAACTAATATTTTTTTGTTTCATTTAAATAATTTTAAAGTGTTGGATGCCTATGGAATTTAAAGGAGGTTGGGAACAATATGCAGAAGATTACTGCTTTATTCAAAATACTTATTATGTTGCACCGGAAGAAGAAATACCTGCTGAGGTGACAGAACGGGATGAACGACAATTTGGTTATTATCAGGTAATTATTTTGTGTTATTATTATTTTTAAATATTTATGGAATAAATATATGTATTATGAAGAAAAATAAAAAAGTAAATTAAAGTTTACAATTATCTTAGACCTTATAAATGTTTAAATTAAATTTTTAAGGATAAATTTTAAAAACTATTCAATACTAATTAGTATTTAGATTTTACATAAATTAACCCTATGATATTAATAATCAGAGAGAGTTTTTTTAGGTTTTTCTCTATTTTTTTTGCGAACTACTTTTGATGAGATATGCACAAAAAACACTGTTTTGGGTCGAAATAATGAGTCTATATTGGACCTATTCGAACCTAAAAAACCTATTTCGGCCTTTTCGGACCTAAAACCTATTTGCAACCTATTTTGGACATTTTTGAACCTATTTTAGGTTTTTTGATAAAAATCTTAAAAATTGCCTTTATTTTCGCAAATATTTGAGAATTTAAGTCATTTTTTCACTAAATTTTTGGGTTTTTTTTATAAAAAAATTTAATTTTGATATTTAATTATCTTTTTTAACTAATTATCGGTAAAAATTGCTTTGAGGACAAAGACTCCGATTTATATCGATATTTATGTTATTCAAAATAACTCTCAAAGGCGTGATTAGTTCGAAAGAGCTCGCCGAGCTGAGTCGAATAACACCAAAATCAAAGCGATCTGACTTCATAGGGCCGAGTTACATGGGCCCAAATATCGAACAACCATACGGGAGAAAAGACAATTTTGAGGTGAAAAATTTGATTTTTTTAACGATAGCTCATTTGAAAGAGCCTCTCAATCTGAGTTGATTGACACCAAAATCAGCGCAATCTGACTTGATAGGGCCGAATTACGGGCCGTGAAAATTGAAATACCATAAATTGAAAACACAAAATCGAAAAAACTCTAACAATACAAACCTATTTGTTAAAAATTCGTACCTATTTTGCCACTTTTTGCATTTTTTTCAACCTATTTAAGCCTTTTTTTCGAACCTTTTAGGTACCTATTATCAGGTTTTTTGAACCTAAAAAACTCTCTCTGTTAATAATTATTAAATTATTTTATAGAAATTTTTTATTAAATTTTAGTGGGTGCCTATAATGTTGGCATTACAGGCAGTTATGTTTTATTTACCAAATTGGATTTGGAAGACTTTACATCAACAAAGCGGTAATTAAAATATTTTTAAAAATTTAAATTTATTTTTAGGTGTTGATTTAGAAACAGCTATAGCAGATGCCCGTTCATTACGTTCAATGTCTTCATCTAAAAGACAACAAGAAATGAATAAATTAGCCCAATATTTAAATGAAACATTAGAATTACACGAAACACATCGAACCCCTCGTTATTTTTTATGTTTACGTTTTGGACGTTCACTTGGCTCTTATGTTTCTTCTCTTTATTTATTTATTAAATTTTTATATTTGGTTAGTTTTTTCTGTAAATTTGGAAAATTATTTGAGGATAAGTGCCATTAAATTAAAAATAAAGTCAGTGATAATTTTATAAGAACAAACTCTTATAATTATAAAATTATACAACGTTTAAACATAATTAAGACAGAAAGGTAATGGCTTGGGGTTATGGCCAAAAAATAGGTTTCTATAGTGATTAAAAAATTATGGAAAAATTGAAAAATAAAAAAATTATGGCCAAAAAACGAGGGAATTTTGCCTAGTGACTATAAGTTTTTCGAAAAATGACTGATTTAATGATTTTAGTAAAGTTATGTCAACATTCTTAATAGTTTAGTGGCAAAATAAAATATACTTTTAAGAAAATAAATTGTTTTGTCGGCATATTTTAGTATCATTCTCTTATTTTTTACAAAAATAAATAAAATAAAAAAATTTTTTAATTTAAGGTTAACGTCCTTGCCCAATTCTTTTTATTAAACGCTTTTATCGGCCATGGATTTGCACTTTGGGGTTGGACTGCTATTCAATCTTTGTGGTTAGGAGACGGGTGGCAAGACTCTCCAGTATTTCCACGTGTTTCACTTTGCGATTTTCGTGTTCGGCGACTTGCTAATATGCACAGGTTTTGTGCAAGAAAATAATTATTTTATAAAATTATATTTTAGATACACTGTTCAATGTGTTCTTATGATTAACATGTTTAATGAAAAGGTGAATATTTAGTAGTTAGTACATCTCGAATTTGTATATCCTCTTTAAATTTCTCCCAACATTATCTTAATTAAATAAAAATTTAGGTATAGACTCGTTACATTCTTCAATTAATATTTTAAAAATTTTCAAATGTTTATTTTCAGATTTATCTTTTCATGTGGTTTTGGATGTTTTTAGTTGGTATTTCAACTTTAATCAATTTCCTTTATTGCCTATTTTCACTGGTACCACCATCTGCCCGAGAACGTCAACTTCGTCTTTTATTAAAACAAGCAAAATTCCAAGATTTGGTTCACTGCAAAGAAGCTGCCCCTCTCCTTCAACGTTTTGCCAATTACGCATTACGTCCTGATGGAATTCTTCTTTTGAGATTTATTGAGGGTCATGCTGGTGCTATTGTTGCAAGAGAATTAGTTGCTCAACTTTTTTCCGATTATGTACATCATTGTGAAAGTAAAAATAATTATTTTATTTATTTGGAAATCTGATAAAATCCCTTGATATTAATTTCCAAAACTATTGGCAGCATCAAACCCGGTTGGATTGTTTCGGCGTCCTTTTTCCAAATCCAGATTTTGGGTCTTTTTAAAAAGACCAATTGGGGTTTTTTTAATTTTAAAAATTATTAGAAATTTTTAAAAATTGTTTTAACGTGAATAGTGGATGGAAGACAAATTTGAACATTTGGGATATAGTTTAAATTATTTCCAAAATAATTTTCAAAAATTATTTTATTTTGTCTTTTACTAGCTACATTCCATCAAAGCACAGAAGCAGTTAAATCAGCAGCTCAATGCCTAAGATCTTCTGCACCAGGCTCTCACAGTACAAAATCAACATCTCCGGGTGGATTTGAATATGAACCTTTACATCCCCACCATACAGATATTGGGTTGGGAAAAGGTGGGGAGATTGTTGAATTGGGAAGTGGAGTTAAGCCTAAACTTGTTTAAATATAAAGTGCTAATAAAAAACACAAAATGCCTCAGGGATATAAAAATGTGTTCTCTCTTAATTCTAAAATTTGTTTTTGCTTTACTTACCAAAAAATTTAATTTTTTTTTGTATTTTTATTTGGAAAAGTTCCAAAAACATCTATTTCTACTTTTAATAATTAATCTGAATTCTTCATTTGTTTTCAATAAATTTCATGATAATTCTAATTAATTTTTATGTATATTTTATTATTCTCTACTAAATAAAGTCCTCATTTTTATTTTAATTCTTTCACTTATATATTTTGTATTTTAATAAGTTTGGATCTTTTAACGATTCAGGAAATTATTAAGACATAAAAAATATTTTCTATAATAATAATTAAATTTATGCTTTTTTAGCATTATTATAAAATATAAATTATATACATATATCTTAAAGATCCACTTTAACATTTTAAAGTTTTTGTATAATCTCATGAATATTTGGATAAAGAATTATTAGTTTCTTCGCTTTTGGAAATTTACTCAGAATATTCAGTCTTTTAGATCCATCTGGGCCCGCACTATAAGACTGTTGTTTATGCTTATTTAACCGGTTACCAGCCATTTTTGGCCTCTGTAGACCTACACTCCAAAGATTTATTGAACCTGAAGACCTACGACCTTTTAATCAACTCAAATTTTTTATTTAATTACAAGTTTAATCAGGGGATCTGAAGAGATTAAAGCGGATACTAAGGTATCCCTCCAAATCTTCTGTTATTACTCAAATCTTCTGATGTCACCTTAATCGTCTTACTCCAGGATATCCCTTTATTCCCTTTAATCCCTCAAATCCGCCTATATCCCCCTTAATCCCGCCAAATCCTCATTATTTGATTAAAATTAAACTTGTAAAGAAATAAAAATTTGTGTTGATCATAAGGTTGTAGGCTTCCAGTGTTGATAAGTCCTCAGAGTTAACCCAAAGAGTAGAATGTGTCTCTAATTATAATTCATTTTATATTTTTTATTGAAACAATTTACTTCTTTTTTAGAAATTCAGTGGATTTGGTATTAAATTTGTAAACTTTTATTTTTATTTGTAAGTTCATTCATACCGAAGGAATAAAATTTATATTTTATGGGTAACGTTATTATTATAAGGACAACAGCAAAGGAACAACATTTATAGGTACTGATCGGATTTGTATAGTATGGGTGCTTATAAAGTTTTTAAGTAAAATAGACCTTTTAAAACTTGCCTGTTTTTTCCCTGAAATTTTCCCTTTGTTGTGGTCGATTTAAATGCCATTTACTTACCCCAAAAAACATAAAATTTTTTTAAAACATTATTAATAATACATATTGCATTAACGTGCCTTAGAGATCAGTCAATAAAGAATATACTTTTTCCTCTATAGTATGTGTGCCTAAAACGTTTTTAAGTATAAAATTAAAAAATTTGAATTTAATCTTTATAAAATTGTATTGTATTTTATACCTAAATTACGCATACACATGATTGAAAAATTGTCAATTTCACGTGAGAATTGAATTCTAGGTATACACACTAATGATTAAAAATTAATACTTATATTAGGAGGGTTAAACGACATTTGCGGACCCGCACTTGTGGACCGACACATGCGGAGCAGAAATGAAATAAAAAAAATAAAATAGGTGATAAAAATTTAAAAAAATATGTACTTCAAAAAAGTTAAAAATAAAAAAACATTATTTGGTTTCAAAGGAAATCAAACCTTTTTGACTAGAATGTTTTATACTACTTTTAAATTTTCTTCTTATATTTGTAACATACTACTTCAACAAAGATTAAATAGGAATTATAGTAGACGAATCAGCACTGCTGTATTTTATAAAAAATATTTAAATGGAAAATAAATCTCATTATTTAATTTAGGCATAAGAATTACCAGCTATTTTATTAAACTTTTGGACATTCCTACTAAAAGTTAAATGCCAATCTGGTCACATGTTTTTTTAATGTTGGGCATATTATGTCCAATCTTATACCATCTTACTCATTACACACGTGTAATCACTTATTATAAACGCATTCGCGGGGACCTCCTCCCCCACCCCTCCCCCAAACCATCCGCCCCTTTTACACGCCCGCTTGACCTATTTTATGACATATAAAATGCTTTACCATTTTTGTAATAGGCAGTCTATTTTAAATTTTTTAATTTTCCCTTCCCATTCATTATTCTTCTCAGACCTTGAGAACCCCAGTAAAAAATAGCGAACATAACAACCGCATTCAGGGCTGTCCGCAAATGAAAAAATTTTCCGCAGCCGCAATCCGTTTGAGGACCTAAAATCTATCCATGAATCCCTTTAATCGTTAAAAATTCACATATCCCTCTAAATCTTCAGATAACTCCAAATCTATCTTAATACTTGCGAATCCCCGATGTACCTCTTTGTCTTTAAAGATTTATATACCATATTCCCTCAAATAGTACGGCCGGCCGTACTATTTTTCAACCCTCTTCTAAAGGGCCGTACTAATTGAGGGAGCCGCACTATATTTCAACCCTCCTTCGGAATTATCTTAATAATTTTTCTGGTTATGCCACCTTGAACTAAGACCGGGTGTATTGAATTTTTTTGTTTTTTATTACACACACTAGATTGTACCTAGAAACTCTCCTTAATCATATGCCTAGATCCAAACTGAGATTACAAAGACCTTAAAATTTAATGCTGCATGTAAAATGGCATCCATATCAAGAGTTTTTGTTGAGTGTTTTGTGTAGCGTGAGGAGTTAGGTCTGTGCATCCGTGCGTGATGAATTTAAAAGTTGAGAGATTAAGGAAATCTCCAAAATCTTGAGAGTTGAGAGATTAAGTTGATAGATTAAAGAGGTCTCCAAAATCTTAAAATTTTCGCCTGCGGCGCTGAAAAAGGAAAAAATGGCTTCTTGGCCTTAGAAAACTCTCAGAATTTTTCTTACCCCTCCCCCCGGCGATCCGCCCCTAATACACGCACGATTTACTTATTTCACGATTATAAAATGCTTTGGTATTTTTGAATAGGCAGTCTATTTCAAATTTTTTAATTTTCTACTTTCCACTATTCCAGAAAAGATAGAAGAAAGATAAAAATTACATCCCTATTTATGAGGCTTATTCATATAAAATCCGTTACATTATCGAAAATTTCAGAAATTCTTTTATGAAATTCGTTAATCCAATAATAAAATAAAAACAAACATAAAATTTCATTTTTGTTTTTAGATGAGTCGGAAAAAATCATTTCTGACACTCTTATTATTTTATTTAACAAATTGTCTGATCCAAACTGCCTTTTCTGGAAGAAGTCTAAGTGGTTCGGGTCGAAAAAGTTTCATTTCAAGACATAGCTCTGAAGGGTCGGCAAGAAAAAGTTTTAAAAGTCTTCCTTCATTTAAAACTGAAGAGATGGTTGCCGAAGAATATGTTCAGAAGTTGGTGGGTAAAACGCAATATTTTATGCCGAAGGTTATTGATGGTGATGTTTATTGTAAAGAAGGAGATTTTGTTGAAATAAAGGGTGATGAAAATCTTGAAAAATCAAAGAAAAAAGGATGTAAATATATTACATCAAAAGATATAACTGTTGCAAAATTATTTGAATATTTTTATTTGAAAATTGATAAAATTGAAGGAATGAGAGAAAAACTTGAGCAAGTAGAATTTGAAAATGATAAATGCAATATTGGCTTCCCATTGCCAAAAAATATTTTTGGAAAGGCATTTCTACTTGACACCGCCTTAACATTCTCTGGAGATGAATTGAAAGAGTTGGTACATGGCGAAGAAAAAATGGTTTATAATAAATTATTGAAGGAAGAAGAAGAGAATGACGATGAAGAAGATGGAGAGAATAATGATGAAGAAGAAGAAGAGGGTGATGCTCGTTTAAGTACACATATTTTGCTTGAGCCAATTTACAAGGGCAGTAGTGCATTCACAGAGAATTTTATTTTGAATTTTGAAAAAATCCCAAAAATGGAATATGAATACGAAATTCAAAAACAGAAGAATCTTAAGGATACATCTAAAAGAATTTCTGAGAAAATACACACGATATTGAAAAATATGATTGAAAGGATGGAGAAAAAAATTGGCAAAGAAAATGATAAAGTAAATCAAACATCCTCGCAGAAGGCAAATTCTTTACCAAGAGAAGAACCTCCATCAGAGGAAAACGAAGATGCACCCATCAATATGCAATCAGTAGGACATGATAATATTGAAGAAGATATTTCAGCTTTAAAAGAATTAAAAGATGACAAATTAACAATTGATAAAAAATTAAAATTAGAAATTTATCAAAAGAAAGAAGAAATTGAAAGGAAATTGATAGGAATTCTGAACGGATATAAAACAGTTGAAGAAAAGAAAGGACAGATAGGTAGATGGAAGGTAATTGTTGATGATTGGGAAAAAGATGCAAGAAAATCCTTTGAAAAGAAAATAGAAATAAAAAAAGATGAAGAAGGTCACAAGAAGTTGCTTGAATATAAACCGCATGTATTTGAATTTCTAAAGGTAAATAATTTTTGGCATAAATAATTTTTATCGGCCTAAACGTTTTAAATTAATTAACCTTACAACGGGTTCTGTCCTCTTACTATACCGCTACCAACGAAAATAGAAAATTTTGTAAAAATATGAGAAATTACAATTTCTGTGGATTTGTGATCAAAGTATTGATAAATTCTGACTGATCGCATTATTAGCGCATTATTTTGTTTTTTCATAAATATAAAATGTCAATTAATTAAAATAAAAATTTAGGAAGTAACTTTCGGAGTGAGTATTAAACCATCAAACAAACGTTTCAAAAAACTTGAAGAAGAAGAGTATGAAGAGTTGATAGAATTTTTCAAAAATCCTCGGGAATTTCTTAATTCGCCTCCCGAAGAAAATGAAACAGCAAACAATGATCAGTCGGAAAATTCTGAAAATAAATGGAAAAAGAAATTGAGTGAAAAATTGTTGAAGTTTATATTTGAAGAAATGGAAGAAATAAAAGGAAAAGGAGTTGGAGAAGGAGGAAGGGGAGATAAAGAAGAGCAGTATATTATTAAAGTATTAAATGAAGAATTTAAATGGCTAAATTTGGGGTTTAAACGCAAAATAAAAGAAACGGTTCAGAAGAAAGTAAAGGTTGAAAATAATAGAATGTTTGTTGTTGAAGATTTTATAAAGTTGAAAAAAGAGTTGACAGATATTGACAATGGCATTGAAAATTGTAAAATGTTAAAAGATCCAATACTACAAGTGTTACGTTTTAATGATGAAAGTGACACTATACATCAGGAATTCCGTGGAAGGTCTGTCTTTTTTAATTTTAATGGGCATGTAAATTTTTTGGGACATTACCATAAATATACATATGTAATATCTAAAATTTTCAAAATAATATCAAAAATTTATACGGATAAGATAACCGATGGTCCCAAACCAACAGATCGATTATCCCTAATACAAAAATTTAGGGATCCAACCCCAGGCTTCGAGAAATATAGTATGTCTATATGGCTTCCCCAAGGATATAAAATTTAATAAATTTTCTGCAAAAAATAATATTTATTATTTTATTTTTATAGTCTAGTATCCCTAATAACTTTTTGTTTATAATTAATTAATTACAGAATGGGAGCACAAATACTCGGATCTGTCTACAACGCAAAAGAATTAACTAAAGACCTTTGGAATGGCTTGTTATTAAGTCTGGGTGGTGCTGGATTTATAGCAGCAGTTCTTGATATTGGTGTTTGGCCGGGAGTAATTGCATTAATTTCGCTGACTGGATGCATTCCTTGTGCTCATATTGTGGGAGTAGTTCTCTACTCGTTGACACCCCTCGCAGCAGAAACTTTTGATTCGCTCGTTATAAAACGTTTATTAATTTCATTCGATGGTGGAAGTTTTTGGCCAAGTTCTAAGGCTGTTTTTGATGAAAATCTAAGAGATGCAGCCGCTGCAGGAAAAATAGCCGCTGGCGGTTCTATTTTTAACAACCTACTCGCGATGGAAGAAATTAGTAAATCGTTTCCAGAAAATGCCAATTGGTCTTCAATACTCCCTGCTTTTCCGGCAAATCTTGTATGAGAAAAATTTTTAAAAATTATTTTTTAAATAAAATAAACACCAAAATACATTCTCTAAATTTCAGATAGCAACAGCTACTTCTGGTGCAATGGTACCTCAGGAATTCAATAAATGGCGTGACCATCAACGTTCGGCCCTATATAAATTATATGATCAAGGATTTCTCCCAAAACCAGATGATGATAAAATTGTTTTGAAATGGAGAAAAATTGCTGAAAAGAAACAAACAATTCGGAAAAGTATTTTTAGCATTTTTGCTGCAAAAAAACCAGAAACATCTCCGATACCCACAAACAAGGAAAGAGATATTGCATTCCGGGAATACATCAAATCGAAAATAGAAGCATCTATGGATATACAAAAAACTTCTGCAATGACCATTAATTCAATGGGAATCGGTGCTTTGATAAGCTCATTTGTATTATTCGCCTTATATTTTCCTTCTCTGTTTGGAGTAAAAATTCCAGAAGTTCTCGAAAAAATTTTTATAATTGTGGTTAATACACCAACAGAAATGATTTCTTTCGTTGCTGGAATTTTTTCGGCAAATAAGTTTGGAGCAGAAACAATAGAAAAGTGGTGGAGTACAGACGATATGAAGAATAGACAAATGGTAAGTGAGATATACAATCATAAACTTAAGACCTTCATAAAAACCGTTAAAATTTAAGAAGCACGTTTGTAGACAAACGGTTGCCAATAACTAAAATGCCCTAAATATATCTTTAACAATACCTTCTAATTTAACATTTTTAATTCGAGGTTCGACTTATCATTGATCGAACAATAGAACAAATGAAAAACCCTCGTGAAGGGATCCAAAAAATTAAGCAAAAGGAAGTTAATGAAATATATCATACAAAATTGAATAAAGTAACCTTTACATATGGAAAAAGCGTTACGAAAGTTATTATTGTGGTTTCTAAAGCCGTCACAAATTCTTGGAATAAAATGTGGGGAAAACCGATTTCAGAATCATTATTTAAGCAAATAAATATTGGAAAATTGGCATTGCCATTTTATAAAGGTTTGGAATTGAAAAACGAAAACGATAAAAAAAAACTCTTTAATTTATAGAAAATGAAGTGAAGGAAGATTTAACTTTCAATTTATCCTACTTAGAGGATGATCTTTTGAAGAAAATACCGGAAATGCCTGGATTTAGTAAAGAAAAGTTTAGCGAGTTCATCAATGAAATTAGTAAATAATATTAAAATATTTGCTCAAATAGAAGGAAATAATTAAGTTTATCTAATCATAGTCGGTAGAGGGATGGGATAGTTTAGCAGACAATTGCAGTCTGGGAACTTCTTTCCAAAATTTATACTCCCCGTACCATGATACAAAATAAGAACTTGAGTAAAAATTTTCTTGAAGCACCCGGGTGGATCGGCCTCTTTATCCATTAATTTCCTCCTTTTAGTACCATACCATGAGAAGCACAAATTGAGTTTAACGGAAAGTCATCATTATATGACTATTGTCTCCAACTCGAACATTAATGGCAATTTTGATTTTAAAAGAGCCATTAATAATGAATTGATCAATAAAAGTGTAACTGAGTCATTGAATTTTGTAAAATTTTAAATAATAATATTAAAAATATAAAATAATACATAATATTAATTTAGTCGTTAGTGTGATATTTTTTAGTGGGTAGTAGATAGTGGGGGGGGGGGGGGATACTTTGATAAAGTAGCTTTTTCTATTAAGATTGGGATATTGAATTTGGAATAAAAGGGAGATCTAGGACTTTTAAAATTGCTAAGAGAAGATTTAAAAAGAGAAAATTAAAATTAAATGAATAGTCCCTTTACAATAATCAAAAACGGATTTTTGTAGAGCTTGCGGGTATAGAAATTTTAGGCAGGTTGCTTTTATCAAACAAATTTTACAAATTTGTTGTGAAATTTAAATGTTTATTTTTTTAAATAACCATCTTAACATTAAACAAATAATTAAAATTAATAATTATTTTATTCCAAATGTCTTGGTATTTTAAAAAATAATTTTATTATTACTAAAAAATCATTTATCTTTTATAATTTGTTTTTAGTCGGACGAAAACAACAATATAAAAAGCTTAAACAAGGCTTTAAACAATTTTGAGACGAACATTGAATTAAAGAGTAAAATTCTAAAATGCGGTTTGTACGGGAAAATTTTACATTTTACCGCTTTGGAGATTGATAATGGGGATAAAATAGAAAAATCTGAGTTACTTACAGAAGAGGAATTAAATAAAATCAAAGGAGATATAGATAATTATTTAATACAAAACGAAGGATTTTTTGTTAAAAAGGAAGGATTTTTGAAAATAGTATTTTCAAACAAAAATGGGGAAAATGAAGAAACTAAACGTGAAAAATTGAAAAAGATACACCTAAAATATAAACTGAGAAAATTATTTTTGTTGAGATTGAAAATAAAATTGGCAGAATTAAAAAAACAAACAGTCGAGGGAATTGGTTTGAAATTTTAATAATTAAAAAAAAATTATTTGAATAAAATTATTTTTAATTAAATTTTAATTTTTTCTATTAAATTAGACTCTCCTATTTCTTTGAATGGAATAATCGAACAATTAAAGAAATTGGGTATTCATGGAAATGCTCCAGAGTTTTTAGCCGAAATAATTCACAAAATTGAGTCTAAATGTGAACAAACAGAGAAACTAGAAAATAATTCAAGAAAACAAACTGATATCGTTAGAAAGGATTTTGGAGAAAAATTAGATAAAGAAATGAAAAAAACTTTGACAAAAGATGATGAATTTAAGAGAAAAACTTGGGAAAGGCTTATGGATTTGGCTACTAAACGTTCAAATTTAAAAAAATATTTGAAAAGAATGGCTAAGGAAACCAGAGAGTTTGTAAAAACTTTGGACGAAAATAAGAAAAAATTGGATAAACAAAAATTAGTTTTAAAGGATGATAAAAAGAAAGAAGAGTTAGAAGAGTTTGAAAAGAAGGTAAGAATAAATTTTAAAAATAATTTGTGGATATACATATTAAAAATAATATTAGAAGAATTTAACCCTTTTTCTCTAATACCCTCTCATAAATAATTGTATTAGGTACATTATTCTATTATTTATAACAAAATGAGGTTGTATATCAAATTTTAAAATTTAAATTTTCTAATTTAAAAACAAATTAATATCAATTTTATCCTCTCTCAATTAATTACACCCACCAGCGAGATAATTAATTAATCAGGGTAATATGTGGTTTGAGCATATAGATCAGGGATGTCACGGGTTGAGAAAAATGTCGGGTCGGGTTTCGGATCGGGTTTCCAAAATTTTTCTCGGATCGGGTTTCGGGTTGAGCAAAAAGTCGGGTCGGGTTTCGGATCGGGTTTCCAAAATTTTCTTCGGATCGGGTTTCGGGTTTCGGGTCGAAAAAAAGTCCCTTTTTCAGCGCCGCAGGCGAAAATTTTCAGAATTTTGGAGGATCATTAAGCTAAAAATCTTCCTTTTTTCTGCGACGCGGGCGAAAATTTTGAGAAAACTCGGGTCGGGTTTCGGGTCGGGTTTTGAAAAATAAAAATTCTCGGGTCGGGTTTCGGGTCGGGTTTTAGAAAATTTCTCGGATCGGGTTTCGGGTATCGGGTCGAAAAAAAGGCCGGGTTTCGGGTATCGGGTCGAAAAAAAGGCCGGGTTTCGGGTATCGGGTTTCGGGTAACCCGTGACATCCCTGATATACATAGGTGTTTAGATAAATTAAATTTTGAAGGGGATTTAAGATGGGCTTCTAATTGATTTCAAAGAGTTAATTTGGAAATATTCTTTCTTTTAATTTAGGTGAATAATGAAATGGAGGCTTACAAAAACCGTATGATCGAAAAATTCGAATTCCTTAACAAGAATTGGGAAGAAATTGTTGAGAAAAGCAAAGAACTTCCACCAAATGTCAAAGAAGCTTTAAAAGAAAATGGCCATTCATTTATTGGTTACTGTTTGGCAAAACGTTTCCAATTTGTTTTTAACGATGAGGGACAAGCAAAAACAAAGTTTTATAAAGATAACAATTCATATCTTTTGGGATATGCGACAGAAATTAATGAAATATTGGGTCCAAGAAGAGTAAACTTGGAACATTACAAAGAACTTGAACATAAATTCAAAGAAAATATTCTAAAGTTAAAAACAAAAAATCAAATGGAGGCGGGAAGCTCCAGTGAGACGGGAAAGTTGGGTAAAATGATAGATTTAGTTTTGAATGATTATTGGGGGAATATATGTGCTATTGACAGAGATAATGTTCAATTTGAAAAGGCAGATGAATGGACACTACAAACAGGTAATATGATAAAATGTTATAGACTATTTTTAAAAATAATTTATTTAATTGTAATTATTGGTACTTTTTCGTTATAAAAGTACCGTCAAATTCACTGACTTTACGTTAGGTAGTGGCGGGTTCTCGATTTACATATCTTTCGGTTCGTCTCATTTGTCTAAGTCACCTCAGTCACCTTATCATAAAAACCTCATTATGATCGTAATGGAAAAGAAAAGTACTTTATAAATGAAAAGTACCAAATTTTTATTAATTAAATACTCTATTTTTGTTATATTCATTTACTGACTTTCTGAGGAAAAACAAATTCAATTCTTTAAAATTTATTATTTCACACAGTGAATACAATACACAATGACAATTTCAATCTTGCTGATCTGGAGTTCGCTGATATTAATCCTGATGACTTTAATCATTTGAACAAGGGAAACAACGAATGGTCAAACTTCAAAAATGGAGCTTGTAATAAATAAATTATATTTTTATTTTCCTAATATTTTTAATTAAGTGGAACGTTTCAATTTACATAAATTAACATTTACTGAAGCACATATAATAATTGCTTACTTTCATAAAAATCTGAAGAATCACATAGCGATTGATGCAACAACATCAATAATACAAAACGAAATGAAAAAAAATATTTATTGGCAAATTAAAGAAGAAATTGAAAAAGTTTGTGTAAAATATATTTTTAATTACTAAATTTATTTTTCAAGTTAAAAACAAATAAAAATGTTCAACATGAATTAATTGTCAAAAAAGAATTGTCTCGAGTTGAAACTTCAATCGAATTAAAAGAAAAATTAAAAGAATGTGGATTGTCTGTTTATGTATTGAAATTTGTTTTAAATGAAAATCAAGGCGAAGAAAAAAATCGTTCTGGATTAATTATTCGAGTCTTTACTCGATTATTTACAAAAACTCAAAAGAATGGTAGCGTGAAAGGATTGTCTGAAAACATGAAAAAATATTTGGAAAATTTTGAAAATAAATGTAAAGAAGAAATTAAAGAAAATAAAGAATTGAGTAAACAGATTGTAGAAACAAAAAAATTAAATGAAGTTAAAACTAATTTAATTATTGAAATTAACAAATTTGAAAATAAATTGAATGAAAAAATTAAAAAATTGGAGAAAAGAAATTTAAAAAATGAAATTAAAAAGAATGAAGATTTGGAAGGAAAATTAGGGAAGGAAACAAAAGAATATATTGACAGATTAGAGAAGAAATTGGTCTTTTTAGTTGGAAATTATGAGAAATTAACAAACAAACATCCGGTTTGTTTAATTTAAAATTTTGAATGAATTTACATAAAAAATGAAAAATAAAATAAATACTTAATTTTATTATATTTTAGACTTCACAAGGTAATGGACAAATAAATACTTCAAGTTTATCAGCAATTCTTTATTGTTTGACAAATAAATTTTTGGAAATATTTAATGAAGATGGAGTTGTTAATATGGATATTTTATTACAAAATATTTCAAATACAAATCTGATAGAATATGGACTGGAAATGAATGAAAAATTGGGAAAGAAAAGAGTTGATAAAATGTAAAAAAATATACAGTAAATGTCCTAGTAAAAGCCCTCGGTTTATATTTTTCAATGGGTCTCATTAATTTGGAATGGGTTCTATAAAGAGATTAGACTGTGTTTTAAAAAAAATTAAAAAGAGATAAACTGAAACCCCAGATTTATAAAAAAATAACCAGCTTTCGAGATCGAACCTGAGTTATAATTCTAAATAAATTATTTAAATCAGGGTTCAGCGGTATCGGGATTCCGAAAATATACTCGTATCTCGATCATTATTATTAAATATTTCGAATTCGGTTACGGGTTTTTCTTTTAAATGACCAATGGTTTTGGGATGACTTACTGATGTATACAAAACAGTATTGTATACGATTTTTCGATTTTTACACTGTAACTTATATTTTTAAAGGTATTATCAAGAAATTCTCAAAATGATTGGAAATAGCAATGATGGATTAGAAAAATTGAAAGAGAATTGGCGTAATTACTGCTACATTGACAAACAAAATGTTGAATTTGAAAGGCCCGAGGAATGGGCAGTTCAATATAGTAAATTTAAATAATTTAATTATTTTTAATTTTAAATTAAAGAAAATGAAATTGGTTTACAAAATGATGGTTTTCGTTTGGCATATTTGGGAGAAGATAATGATGAATTAATGTCAGCAATTAATGATAAAGAAAGTGGACTAACAACAAAACAAAAGGAGGAAATATTTAAAGAAATATGTAAATTAATTTAATTAAAAATTTTTAAATATTTAATAATTATATATATTTAAAAAAATACATAGTAGTATTCTCTTTTTTCTTCTAAAAAATATACTATTTATTTTTTATTAATTTCAGTAAACAATTTTCATCTTCACAAAGTCACTTTCTTAGAAGCCCACAAAATGTTTAATTTATTTAAATTTACAACAAAAACAACATCAGAAACACAAAACGAATTAGCTGTTCAACAAACTAATTCTGAAATTCAACCTGAACATTTAAAACAACCAACAGAAACATCATCACAAAAACAAAAAGAAACATACTATGGAATTAAATTCGAAATGAAAAAGGTTTTAAAAAATTTTCGAAAAAATATATATATTTTTTAAACATTCGGATTTCGGTCCCTTTTATAAATATCCTTGGAACCAAAAAGATTTCTGTTGGGAAATAAGAAGGGTGTATTAATCCCGTGAAGGATATTCCTTGCCCAATAAAATATATAAAATTATTTAATTCAAATAAATTTAGATAAAAGCAATTTTCGAAAATCAAGGAGAAAATAAAAAAGTAAATGAAAATGAAGAAGACGGAGATGAAAAAGCTTTAAACGTTCTGAATAGACAATTAACTGATTTGAAGAGTGTCAATTCAAAGGTCTTCCAACAATTTGAAGGAAATATTAAATTAAAAACAGATTGGCAAAAATGTTTAAATTATGTTATACTTTTGAAAATATTTGTGAAAAATCATTTGAAAATGAAAAAGAAAATTTTTGAAAAATTCGAAAAGGAATGTAAATTAAATAAATTAAATGTCGAAAAAGAGAACAAAAAAATTAAAAAATTATATGAATTAGTAGTTAAAGAGAAGAATGAAGAGAAGAATCCCGAAAAATTAAAAAGTTTTTTAAACAAATTATTTAAAGAATTAAAGAAAATTATTGGTCAAATTGACAATAAAAATCAATTAATGGAGTATTTTGAAGAATTGAAAAGTATTGAGAAAAAATCTGAAGATAAGGGACATCGAGTTGAAATTATTGAAAAAATGAATAGTTTAGTGAATGGAGAAAATATTGAAGAATTTGATGAACGATTGGAAAATAAATATAAATTTTTGTTGGAAAATTGGAAAAAATTATTTTTCGAAGAGGAAAAGGAAAAAAATATTTTTTACAAACAATTATTACCAGAAATTAAAGGAATTGAAAATTATTTTATAGATTCTGGTGATCTATTTGTTGGATATTGTTTAACTAAAAGAATTGAAAATTCATTCAATAAAGATGGAACTGTGAAATTTTCTGAATTTTTGAGTAATGGTGTTGGACAGGAATATGGATTGGAATTGAATGAAGTTTTGGGGCAGAAACGTATTGATATTGGGTAAATTGAATATTAAATTTTATTAAATATATAGGCGACGTCACTTTAGTTTAAGTGGATTTCAATCTATTTACCTAATTTTATTTTTAATACAAATATTTTTGATTATTAATTTAAACCTTAATTTATTATTTTTTAGACATTACGAGAATTTACAAAAACAAATTAAAGAAGAATTAAAAAATGTGTGTGCGGAAAATTTTGAAGAAAATTTCAAAGATAAATGTGAATTATTTTTGGAAGATGAATTACAAAACTGGCATTCTTTTTGTTCTATTGATACAGAACAATTGCGTTTTGAACGTTTTGAAGAAATGAATGTTGTTTCTTATGGATATCAACACAAAAATGAAGGAGAAGAAGAAGGAAAAAATGATTCTTTTGAGGAAGTAACTTTTGATGAATTTGGAGGAGATGCTACATCCGAAGGAGAAATTGAAGAATTGGGACATTGAGAAGAGAAAAAGGTGTATAAAAAATGTAAATATTTAGCAGTGTTAGCTGAAAAAATTTTTTTTAAAAAAGGTAAAGTTCAAAAAAATTTGAGAAAAAAGACAATCCGTTTAATTACGGATACTAAAATTTTTATACGTAACCATCACCTTTTAAATTTATTTATTTGGTATTATTTTTAATTTTATTTATTTTAAATTCATGATTTATTGGTCAAGGTTGTCGTTTTTTGTAATCTGAATAGCTCATTTAAATACTTTTTTGTAAAATAATTTTGTTGAATTTTAAGAAAATCTTTTATATCCAACAAAAATACGACAACCTTCTTTTTAAATTAACAAATCGAGAATGTATTTTTCATTCAAATTTATTTGATTCACATTATTTAAATATTCAATTGTATTTATTTTACTGTTTCAGAACTGGCTTTAAACCCGAAAATTTTGCAATTATTTTTGCCAAATTTGAACCGATCTTTATGAAAATCTAAAACGAAAATTTAAAAAATGTTAATTTAATCTTCCCCGTCCAAATAAATCGGTACTTATTTGTTTAGAAATCATCCCTTTAAAGCAGTTCTGAAATATATTATATTATCTAAGCGTAAAATATCCATTTTTTAAAATTTTATTCGTAAAAATTTGTAAGATATAATTGAATTGAATTCTAAAACAAAAAACATTTCAAATATAATTTAGTTATACAAATTTGAAACTGAAGTTATTCAATTCAATTATAACATAAAAACTTTTCGTTATGTTCACAGAAAAGTGCCGAGTAAAATAGAAAGGTTTTGAAACATTCAAATACTTTTTCAAAAAATTTATTCAAGATTGAAAAAGAATATTTAAAACTAACACGGCACTATTCACAACATTTTTTAGATATATATATTCATGTTTGGACAAAATATTTTAGATGAAATCCTCGGCTTTTGAGAAATTATACTTGTCCAAACATGGGTATATATACATTATACACATACATATGTATATATTCACAATCTGTAGTTATTTTATGCAAATTTATAGTCGCATAAAATTTTTAAATTTTTTAATTATTTTTGTGTTGAGTTTATAAAGAATCGTGACTTGAATTCCTTTTTAATTCAAAATCTTTTTCTCTGAATAATTTGAAACTCGGTCAAATACAAATTATTCTCTTTGAAGACATTACACATGATATGTGGAAGGAAATTTAGGAATTTTGGGCTTAGCAGAATTTTGGGCTTTAATTGAAAAAACGGAGTATTAGGCGCACAAGTATGAAATTTTATTTTTTAAGGATAGAGTTATTTTTTAAGTTATTTTTTATCTCACCCCGACGCCCTCAATTCCCGTGTCTAGAATTTTGCGCCAATATTCTATTTTTTCTCTTAGAGCCAAAAATTCTACTGGAGCCCAAAATTACGAAAAGTTTGTCCATAGTGTTTTTTATTTCATAGATAATTTTTTTTGTTAATACTCTTGTTTGGCTCGGTTCAGTCTGCTAGTAGGTTCCGAAAAAATTCACTTGTGGAACAAGAAAAAGTAAATGGAGTTACTAATTTAGTACAACCTGGAATTGTTAGTTAATGTTATACATACATACTCATACTTCCGCAAACGCAGGACACTTTTTATGAAAATTAAAAAGGACATTTCGTGATATGTACTATAAAATAGTTAAAAGTTAAATAAAATGGCAATATCAAGGCTTTATTTTGTATTTTATTTTTTTGTCAAGGAATATTAATATTTTAAGTTATTTTATTTAAAAGAATTTTTCGATTAAGTTTATAAAGCACTTTTTTAAAAAGTCAATTAATTGTTAGTAAAACCTAATTTAATACAAATTTTTAAATCTGAGAGGTTCTACTATAATCAAAAAATAATTGAATTAATATTTTAGTAATAATTTTCTATCTTAATAAATACTGTTAAATGTAAACAGATTTACCGTTGGTTCGAGTTGCCATTCGAAATCACAATCTATCAGATATAAAAATTGAGATTTTAGATGCAGTTTACCTTTATAAAAATTTGTATAACCTTAACAAATTATTTTCTTTAATACTTTTGTAAGTCCATTGAAAACATTTAATTTTTTTGAATACTTTTTATTCTTCTATAAGATTTGTCTTTAACATTTTTCTAAATATTTTTTTATTCTTTATATAATGTTGACATTTTAAACTTAAGAAAATGCAATATTTTCTGATAATTTTTAGAGTTTAATATGTAAATGTTTGTGTCTTTTCACAATTAAGTAACTAAAAATACTTTTTATATTCAAAGAATATTTTAATAACTTTTTTTTTAATTTTACTTAATCTAAATATTTTTGTAATTTTTTATTTAAAGTATTTTTTAAATATTTATTTAATTAATTTCTAATATTTTAAAATTTATAATTTATTAAATATTAAATTAAAATTTTGAACAATTCTAAAAATCTATTAACTAATTACGCTGGATTTAACTTAAAAAATTTTAATTTGATACAATTTTTTTAATACAAACTAAAAATACAAACTAAAACAAACTAAAAATGACATTGTTAAT